TAAGGTGTTCAGAGACCAGGAAGGGATCTGATAACCAGACATCATAGCTGCTATTTTCACAGCTGGCCTAGAACAAGACTTTCAGCATTTATGAGAGAAGGTGCAAGACTAAATTTCTTTCTCCATTTGTGTTCCATCACTTAGGCCTGGATGTAGTTAATCTGATGCACCAAGACAATTCTTTGTCATAGCCATCGCAAACTTCACCAGATGCCTAAACCAGACAGGCAAACTTCAAACACTATGAACTGCAAAGATGCAGGCAGTTTTGCCTGTGTTGCAGAGACAAGCAGGGTAAAGCCAATAGGGCAAGAGTGAGAGCTTTAGGTACAAAGAAAATGGAAAGACAGCAGGAAAAAACAAAAACAACAGAAAAAATTTGGGAAGAGTAACTGGAAGGCAAGGTAAGAGAGCCCCTTCTGTAGGTAAAGTCTTGGCTAGGGAGAAGCCAAGTTCACTTCAGTCTTCAGTCGCTTCCCAGACCACGAGTCCAAACACAGCAGCTTTCACTGTGACGTAGCACGTTCCATGGCTGAAGGCACACTCCAACCTCTTCCCATTAAATTCAAGCTTTTTACTTCTGCAATTCCACTAAATCCCCACTAAAGGCTAACCTTTTCTGTTACCTTTCGCCAGCCTTTCCCCCCATTAACACCTACAGTGGCAGGACACGTGTTCTTTTTTGACAGAAGTTCACAAAGCCTGTACATTAATGCAGCTGAGAGGCTAAAAGACTCTCAGCTAAAAACTCATCTTGCTCAGCTAAGATTGAGTGCTTTCTTAAATGTGTACGTTTGTATAAATTATGACCTAAACAAATATTAGAAGATTAATATTCAAGACACTGTAGATTAATTAGAATCTGGGTACTTAAGACAGCTTCCCAAACATTCACACTTTTTGTTTTGAACGACACTTCCATTTCTGCTACAGAAAGAACCTCTCTAAAGGCATAATACTATGAGAATATACATATAAACCCTTCTCTGGAAGCAATGTCCTAGAACCAATTTCTATCATTTCACTGAGTAACTCTTAAGCACAGGACAGTAGAAGATACAAGTAAATTATTTAAATATCAAGTATGTGGTTCACTTTCATTTATAATTACTAGTGTAAGCATTTCCTTCTGTTAATTTAGTACTCCTTCCAACAGAGCAAGGAAAGCATCCAACGAAAAGCTGCACATAAAACTTGTTAAATGCATTGATGTATTTTAAGTAAGCGCTTATGTATTTATAGACGTAATTCTCTAGAAACTGGCATTTCCTCTTACTGTCTTAAGCTGCTTCCTAGCGTCAGTGGAAGGTCTCACTGATTATGTGCGTGGCCCAGGATATATTAAAGTAGAATCAAGTGAGCCCCCAGTGAAGGCAAGCTCTCAAATATCAATTTTGCTAACATGGGAACACAGCACTCTCCTTGGTGACAGAGAGGGCAACTGCACCCTGCAGGGAAGCAACTATCTTGAATCTAAGATTTTAGGTTGATGCATGCCAGTATCTTTAGAAGCAGCATTGACAGACAGTAGCTGGAGGGGTGAGCAGCTGGTGTCTGTTCTTCAGAAAATAGGTAAGACAATAGCACAAAAAGACATCAAACCAGGGAATAAGAGCATCTAAAGCTTAATCGACTATGCTGTGAATCTCAATGCATTTTTATTATTCCATGAGTCAAAAGAAGTGCTCAGAAAGGCTACAGAGGAACATTTCTTGCTGTACTTTCTCACCCAGCACAGCAAACAATACACAATAGGGATACTATAAACTAAGTAACTTTGCACAGAAATTCCATCAACTCAGCCATGTGCCTATTTTAATGTTTCTATAACCAAGTCACACAAGAAGTTTCACTGAGTGAAACCTCTGAAGAATAAAGGAGAAAAAAAAATTTCATCAAGAGACAATGCCATGGACAATAATGTGCCAGCAGTACAGCTTTTTAATTGGCATGATGCAATTTTTCTTTCCAAACTAATTCATCAAATCACAATAACAGATCATGGAATTTGCAAGATATGAGCTACTCTTTCCATTTTAGGTTTTCAGTGTTTCAGAAATACCAGTTTCAACTTTTACAACATCACTAAGATAAGGCTCTCCATTCCACTGCAGAATTAATCTGTTTGCCTCAAAGCATGATGTTGCAGCCTTCCTCATGTAAGTAAACTATGTAAAAGTAATGCTGGACAGTTAAGCAGTAAAGACTGAGACTAAGACAATGCTAATGATGGAACTGGTCTGGACTAACTTCTGTGCTTTGACTGCAAGACTGAGAGGTGGTCTGAACTAAGAAATGTACGGATATCCCTAAAGAAAAGCTGACCATCTTGAACACAACTCAAGGAAATAATTCACATGTGCTCACCTGAAACCTACCAAGCAACACATAACTGACACTTCTTTAAATATGAAGACAAACCACCTCGTGCATTATACATCTCACCAGTAGTCACTTACCTGCAGTGTTTCGGTAACACTATCTTATTTTAGTACACGCTTTTTATGTTCTCCTGAACTCTGAAGTCACCATCCAGATCACAAAGAATTGATTGCTCTGGTGGCAATTTCTGAGGTGAAGTTTAAGGGAGGTATTTTACACAGGAGATAAATGACTAAGTACTTACTGGCAGTATACTCAAACACATTTTCTCCCATTGATTGTCTCCCTCAAACCCCAAAAAACTACAAAGGCAGCCAAGTTCTAGTTCCATCCAAGTTGCCTGAGCATAAGAAGGGAAAGCAACAGGGAGGACAATTTCACACCACCCACCTACAGGCACTTAGCTTAGCTGAAGCTCCTTCACCTCCCTTACAATCAACATACAGAGAAAAGCTGAAAAGCTCCTTGAAAGGGTAATTCAGATCAAATAATGCTGAAGCACTTGAAAGTGTGATTTACATCAGGGATCCGCCTCTGCCTTCTCCACGGAAGAGAAGGACTAGTGGATTAGCCAGTTACAGTAGATACCTAAAGGTAGATGGGAAAATATCACTCCAACTTCCAAACCAAACCTTAAGAGGGTCTGTTTGAGATGTGCTGATAGGATGTAAAAAGCAGGCAGCCATAGCATCCTTGTTGCCCCTTCCAATTAAGGGGGGGGGGAAGCCAGGGTATGTTATGTTTTAAATTTGGGGGCAGTCAACAACTATGTTCGCTATTTTACTTCAAAGAAAAGAAAGCCTACTAGTAACAACACTTAACATGTTAGCTTGTTAGTGAGAGTGACAATACCTAGCTTTATAAAGTTTAGATTATGACAGAGCTTCCATTACCAGAGTAACACATTGCACAGGGCAGAAATGAAGTATCATCAGATTAAACCTGTCAGCAAGTATGATGTTCCCTACGTTCTGCAAAGCACTTTGTATTCAGCGGAGGTGCAAGAGCAACCTTTGCATGTTTTCTAAACACACAATGCGTTCAAACAATTCAAGTAAAGGCAAAGTTAAACACCTCTAAGTTTGCCCAACTTGCCCTAATATCACACACAATTAGAACTGTGAATAAGAAGCAGTACTAAAGCACCAACTTATTCTTAGGTGTTCAGCAAAATCTTTAACTTTCACTAAGAACTCAAAAGATTAACCACGACCTATCCACAGTGAGGTCTCATAAAGACTGAAAAACCTCTCATTTTTAAAAACATAGGAGACAGTTATGCATATTTTTTGTAAATGCTTTAATAGAGTCCAAGTTCAAGCCATTGTAATAAATGATCAACACACTAGAATTCATATCAAAGATACCCTTAACCATCACTATCAATATACCAGCAATTTTAATTAATTCACAGTAATGGATTTGTGGCTTTGCGTTTCACAGCAATTCAAAATATACAGGAAAAATCTCAGGAGTTCACCTAAAAACTGTTAGCATCAAGCAGCACAATACTACACTGTAAAAAGACTATCTTATCAATGTAAGGAAGTGGCAGTTACATATTTTTGCCTTTCTTAGATATTCAGGATTTTTTACCATTCAAACAGAAGCCCTTAGTATTACACATACAAGTTTTGCATATTCAGAACACGGAAAATACAAGTCCATCACTGATCTGTCTTCACAAAACAGAAAATCCACCTCTTTCAAGGGTGCCTTGCGAATAATAACCTTTAAGCATGAGAAGAAATGCAGACACTTGTTCTTCAGCCCAAATTCAGGCGCCCTCCAAACACTGAACTAGTGGTTTTCCATCCAGCTGTGCGAAAGCAGCAGCATCCTACTGATGGGGTCAAACCCCATTGCTCGTCTCAGTGGCCAAGGCTAGACTTCTTCTGCAGAAGTAGGAGGAGAAGGAATTGTTGCCACCTCAGCAGCATGCAATCCCGGGAAAACAAAGGGGATTCCCATTGTCATTGTCTTCATCGGCAGCTGATCATCACCAGCACTAGCAAGGCAGTAGCTTGCGCAGTTATCTCCACAGCGGGCAATGTCACAACCCGACCAACAGCACAAACTACTACCTCAGCCAGGGCCCTGGTGCACCCTACCCCTTCTGAAAGGGGGAAACAAGCAGGCAGACAACACAGCAACAATAAACGAAATTAGAGGGAAAACCAGCAGAAAGATAAAAGGGCTCTGGGGTCTTTTGATGATCCTCTTGTCTCCTTTATCTGCTGCAGACATCAACCAGACTCCTCTCGCCTGACTGTGAAAAGCAAAGGGAAACCCCGCCCAGCTCCCTCCCCAGCTTTGCCCTTTTCCTTGCATGACCTGAAACCGACGGGAAGAGCTTCATTTATCAGATACATTACAGACCCCAGCTGGTACAGTAAAGATCACGTTTAATTTCAAACAGCCACAGTTCCGCAAGCCTGTAACAGATGGGGCGGGGAGGAGAAGGAGAGAGGGAGGGAAGAAAGGAGAGAAACGGCGGGTGCGTGTGTGGGGGGAGAAGCAGAGCAGACAGGCACCCCCACACGTGCACACACACACACACACACCCCGACCCCCCAGCCCGCCTCAGCCGCCCTCCCTGCCCACCCTCCGCTGGAACCTCAGCAGCACAGGACCTGCCCGCGCCGCCCCTCCCTGCAGCACGGCGGCCCCGCCAGCCCCAGCCCCAGCCCCGGCCCCGGCTGACGGCGTGCAGCCCGTGGAGGAGAACGCGGGCTCGGGGTAGCGAGGCTGCAGCAGCCGCCAGCCCGCCCGCAGCTGACCTCCCGCCGTCCGCGGGCCCCGGCAGGCCGCTCCGCCCGCTCCCCGGGGAGGCGATGGGCCGGGGCGCTCCGCACCCAGCTCCGCTCAGCCCGAGGATGGGCCATGCCGCCGCCCAGGGCGAAGGGGCCGGGAAAGGACCGCCCGCGCCCGGCCGGCCCTGCAGGGAGTTCCCGCCGCCGCTCCCGGCGGGGAGGAGGAGGAGGAAGCCGAGCCCTGAGGCGAGGGCGCCGGGGCGCAGCCCAGGGGGGTAGGGAGGGGGAAGCGCTCGCCTTAGCCGGGGCTGCAGACAAAGGAGGCGCCGGGCGGACGCTGCGGCCCCGCTCCCGGTGCGGCTCCGTCCCTCGCCGCCGCCGCCGCAGCCGCCTGTGTGTCCGGCTGAACCATAGAGATCATTTAAGGCGGGGGGAGAGAGGGGCTCATCCGCTGCCCACGTGACTGGACATGTCACTCACCCGGCCGGCGCCATCTTGGAGAGGGAGGGGGAACGCTGCCCCCAGATAGTGTTCAAGATGGCGCGGGGCGGCTGCGGGCTGCTGTTCACAGAGGGTCGCGGCTCCGCTCCCCCCTCGGTTGCTGCCGGACTGCGCAGCGGGCGTTGCGCTCCGCAGGGGGCATGGCGGGAGGGGCGGAATCTCCCGCTCTCGATCCGGGACTCCCTCGCAGCCGCGGGAAAGGCCGCGGTCGGTGCGGGGCCCGCGGGGGACACACACGACACAGGCGCCATGAAGTGGGGGGTTCTTCGCCGGGAGCGCGGCCTCAGAGCAGCGCTGCAGAGGGCTCCCGGTGCGGAGGGAGCCGGGCCGGGGCAGGCTCCGAGCGCGGCAGGGTGGCACGGAGCTGTCAGCGTTGCTTTCCGGTGACACGGGGGACGGTGTGGGCGCGGGGCGAGCGGCACCTCCGTGCTGTGAGAACGGTGAGGAGGGCACGGGCTTGGAAAGCAGAGAGCAAACCCTAAGCGTTGGCGGTGGCTTTAACTTGGAATTCGTTTGGCACTACGGAGTTTGTATGCACACGTAGATACAAGTAGAAAACGTGGAAGCTCATTAATTTCTAAATGGAGTAGATCCCAGTACGATTACTCCATACTAGAAACTGATCGCAAAGAAAGACTGCGAAGGCTCAGTAGGAAGTCACAGAACTGTTAACAGACACTAACTTTTTTACCATTCGTTTTGGCCTTCACCACCAACATATCTTACCAACCAGTGCACTGAGAAAAGCCAGCCACCACTGTAAAAGAGGAACTGGGCTGCAAGAGTTAAAACAAAAAACGGTTTACAGTGACTGTATAACATTGGTGATGCAGAATATGGAAATAACCCAGCTTGGAGCCAGACCCCAACTGAAACACAATAGTGCTGGAGTTCCCAGAGTCAAACTATCTACCAATATGGGGAAAGAACAAAATACAATGCCTACAGGGACAACTTGCAATAAACTGGTAGATGACAAGTCACACTAGGAAGCAGCCAAAACATTGCCACCTTAGAGAAGAGGCAAAATACTTCCTGACTCTGTAGTTCTCAGTTTTTACAGTTGTTACCTATATTAGGCATCAGGCATGTCCTTTAAACCACACCAAGGCACAATCAGATCACTAATTGCTCGTTTAAAAGACATTTAAAACCAGCGATGTTCTATTGGAGAAAAAGTGCCAAGAGTTACACTTATACATGTGGTTTTGATACAATTTAAAGCACACTCTACAGCTGAGAAAATGGAAACATCCAGCAACACAGAGAGCTTTTCTTCAGGTTCTGGAAGGGGCTGCTTGATCTCCTTCAGATCACTGTCCCTCAATTCTTGCTTTCCTCAGTAAAGCAGTGCAATACTATTTCTCACAGGGACAGTAAGACTTAATTGTTCTGCTATTTGAGGTCAGCTCAGGAGAGGTGAAGTATTACAAAGAGATGGATGCATCAAGGGAATGTATGCTGTATTCCTGCTCAGTTAAGTTGGCATACACATCAGAACCCAGTTCTGAAAAAGAAACACGGTCAAAAATGGGGAAAGCTTAAGTGTTGTGTTTGGGGGGATTTCTGGTGTTGTGTTTGGTTTTGGTGTTTTTTTTTGGTGGTGGTTTTGTTGTTTTGTTTTGTTTTTTTATGGAGCAAAAGCTGTATCTTTTTACCCTTTTTTCCTGTCAGAAATTTAAAATAGACTATTTAAGATTGTATTACAAAAGGTAGTAATGGTGTAATAAGAATACTTAGAATACTGAACTTCTATTTATAGTATAAAGCAGCTTTTACACAAGACTATACGTATTTCATGTCTCAGTGACTTGTCTTCCTGAAATAAGGTCTCTTTTATATTCACTAATTAACAGACTGAAACCCATCTTAACATTGTGAGTATGTTCTTGGGCAAGGAGTTTGCAGTTTCTGCATGAGGAAAATCGGCACTTCTGGGTGAAAGTAAAATGGAAACTTAAACAACAGCATTGGGATGATGAATTTAATTGTTTGTAAGAAGGGCCAGATAAACAACAGTAGAATACAGTTATCTCTTAGAAGCTTGGTAAATTTCTTAAATGTAATTTTGGTAGTCTACCCATGTATAGGTAGAAACTGTATTTTTAACTTGTTACCAGGTATGACTAAAAGCTAACAGTGGATATTCGGCATACATCACAATTTATTATGTGGCAAATCAGAACACCAGTACTTTCTTTTCAGATCTGCATTTATCTGAAAACTGCAAGTCAAAGAAGTTTAATTAAAGTAGATCCTGGAAAGCAGTGAAAAAGGAACTAAACTATTAGGAAATATGCGAGGCTGCAAATGGATGCAGGTACCAATCAGCATCTGTCCAGACCCTCATGTTTGTTGGAGCCACCCACCTTCCTGATTCCCTCATACAGTCCTACACCCTCAAATACAAAGCTCAGAAAGACTTTGAGGATTGGTAGTAGTAGATTGAGCAGTAGTTAAATATTATGTAAAAAACAAACAGAAAAGTTCTCTGATAGGGAGTGTATGAAAGTGTAGCATGGCTGGAAAGCTTTAGTTCAGTTTACTGAGTTCGTGAATATAGTCATGTCATGTACTTAACCAAATGGCAGAGCCTATGGAAAACCAAGACAGATCAGTAGCAAGGAGAATTTACAGTTCAAAAAGAGCTCTATTTTCTACACTGACAGTAACTATTGAGCTTTTAAGTGTTCATCTCAATTTTTAGACTAATGAAATGACTATAAGGAAGTCATAGCATGTTGTCCCCTGCAGGGACAGGATACAACAAATAAATACTTGAATACCATCTTGACAAGTGAAAAAAAACCAGCCACAGCTGTGTAGAAAACCAAAAAAGCAAGCAAGCAAACATACAAAACACAAAGAAAATGCTCTCAGGGGAGCTCAAAAAAGCTATCACACCACTGACACATTGCAATAGCAAAGTTAGTTGCATTTACTGTGGCTGCCTGCCTGAACCACTGACAAAGATTCATCTGCCCCATTTTGATATGTCTAAAGTAAACTGAAAAAAACCCACGGAACGCCACATGCTTAAGCCTGATGTAGTTGTCCTGTGCTCCTGTAGCAAGACCTGGTGCTTCCACATAGCACCTTGAGACCTCTTTTAGGATGGGTCTCCTGCTAGGCCTGCCTGTTTGTCATCCCTGACTGCAAATGAAAGACAGATTAGTTAATCCTGGCGTAGATCTCAACATTTTAGTTACCTAAATCTCAGAAGAAAAATCCAACTTGTGCTTCTCTCAACCTCTCAGTCCACACTGCTTCTCACAAGTTTGACTACAGGAGGAATAACTTCTGTCAAAAATTACTTGGTTTTAATGATGATCTAAATAAGCAGGGAGCTATGTTTTAAACCCTATTTTCATCTGTATTTCTCATAAAAGATTATTTGTAACTTCATTAGCAATTGTTTAAATGTTTGTTTGCAGTTAAATACAGTCACTGCACTAAGATCGGCTCCTTTTATGGCTAGGGAATACACTTCACAAATTAACAATTCTATACCTTATTAGATACTAAATGGTTACATTTTATTTCATCTCAAAATAGTTGAGTATATTTTTTTATTAACACTTCATTAGCTTGCTTAAAACTCTATTTGTAAGCAAAGGAGAATATGAAAAATGGCATTCGAAATAATTCTTAGACTGATCTGTTTTAAACGTATTGGATACATTAATGAAATACATGTTAAAACAGAGGACAGAACTGATAGTTTCTCCCTTGCACTGCCTTCAGCTTTTAAATAGAGTTGATTTTACCTTCACAGATGCATCCTACGTATGGAAGAGGAAAAAAATCCCAAGCTTTTTCGGTTCCTGATCCATTTCCAAGTTTGAACTAGTTGTTTGAATTGAGCTAGTTAAAGTAAAATTGAACTGCAAGCTACTGCTATCAGACTGTGGGGTTTAGCACTGAAAAAAAACTTGCTTCCTCATTCTTGCTTTATGGAGGGGAAGGTGTTTTGTGCTACCCCATTCATTATTTCAGTGCATTCTCTTTAAGACTTTGGCAACACATAACCACTTAAAATTTTAAGAGATTATAGCGCATACAGCTATAACAGAGGTTATTGATTTCATATTTTCAGAGAAAATGTTTAATTTCATCAGTCTTTTCTAAAATAAATGTTTATTTTTCCTCCTTTGTTCTAGGGCAGTACTTTGTGCAGACGCTGGGGCTCATTTTAGTGGTAAGGTAGTACCACATTATGCTACAACGCCAAGCCCTGAGGCACAAACAGATTTTCAGTAAGCAGATCTGCAAGTAATAGTTGTGATGTACTCCAGAAACCAATTCTTTGTACATGTACATGCCAGCAGTACTATGCACATAATATTCATGTCCCCTTCCAAGTTTTCTCATGAGAGAGGTTGATCAAAACCAGACTGCTCTCTTTGCTTTTTAAAGATCCTCTGTTGGTGGCAATCAGGTTTGGGTGCCATCTTTCTATGGAGTCTCTCAGTCCCTCCTCTCATGACCAGGCATAAGTCTGCTATGTGACATGATGGGGGAAAGAAGTGTGAGTCTGCTGGCCAGGAAGGAAGCCAGAAACATAAGCAATTTCTTGGCAACGTCAATATTTCCAAGTAAGAAATAGTTAACATTAAAAACAAAAGACCAGGCAATGTCAATTTTCAAGTTACCAGCAGTCTCTCATCCTCACAAGCCTTTGCAGGCTTGAAGCTGTCAACTTCAGAAACACCACTGGTCATGGAGACTCATGCCAGGTTTAAGGCAGATATTCTGTACACAGCAGCAGTTAACCACAACAGCAGTTACCAAGTTTGAAGACTGGAGTCTTCAATAACAAAACTGCAAAGGGATTTTCTTTCTTATTTATCTACTGGCAATCCCTTCTGAAAACAAGAGACCAAAAAACCCTAAACATTAAACTGATGGTCAGTATAGGCTGAGGCCTTTGAGTATGTTTCAACAGTGCAGTATTTTTGATTAGAGAAAAAGATGGTAGCTATACTTAACTTGTTCTTTCTGTAAGGTACATGTTTCAG